AAAACCAGAAACGGCCAATAGTTTAGAGACTAAAAACATATTTAACTCTTTAATTTTTCATATAGCTAATATTGATTATTAGTTGACTATACAAGTTATCAGCCTAAGTAATTTTTTAGATTTTTCATCATTTTCAAAGGTTTAGTTATGAGTGAGTTTGAAAAATAAATAAAATCCTATACAACCTTCGATTTTATAGCATATGGTTCAAAACATAAATCTCATGAAAAAAAAAGTTGTATTCTTGGACAAATTTAAATACATTACAATACAAGTTATTGGTTATAGACCTGCACTGCTATTTTCACCACCCCTTTTACTCTTCACAACCTCTGCCACTATTTTTGGTTTCTTAAATCCCACCTTGTGAATTTGTATTGTAATTGATTTTTGTAATATAAATATATTATAATACATTATTAAAACTGATAGGTGATATACTTTTTCATAACTATGAGAATTAATCTCATATTGATTTTATATTATGAAAACTAATGTTGATATAATAAATTCGTGACAATTAGTATCTATAGATATAAAAAATACGTTATGAAAAGTATTTTCCGAAATATATATTAGGATATAAATATGGGACATAAGCTAGTTTTTTAATTTGTTTTATAAAGGTTATTTCAATGATAAATATGCAAAGAAGTGTAGACAGAATCTTCCAAAATAGAAGTAACATTAAAGAAAAAGAAAATGTTTTATGACTCCGTGCAGCGCACAAGTGTTTTATTTTCCCCGTTTTCTTTCTACCTTCTTTTCTCAATTATGGTCCTATCTTCCATCTATTTCAAGATCCAAACATACCATAATCATAAAATAAGATTTTTTAATTATTAAAAAAATATAATTTCTTAATTATTAAAAAAAAAGACTATCTGTTTAGCTAATTTTCTAATTTAGAATCAAATAGATAATTATGATTTTTTTTTCTTCGAAGAAAATTATTACAAATTTGAAATGTCATATAAAATGATTTTTACTTTTTTTTTTATCAAATATATATGAAAATCATGTTAAATAAACACAAAACAGGTGATTTGTAAATATCTTCTTTTATAGTTTGAAATGTCAATAATTTTTTCTTCTTTCGCTATTATCGTCGTTGTTTTTCTATAGCTTTCTTCTCCAACAATTTTTCTTAATTGTTTACATTGCATTCCTTTCACATATACTACACTGCCTTTTATGCTTCATTTAATGAGACGAAACTTACATACATATATTATGGATGTCATGTTAGGTTAGATTTCAATATGAACTGAAATCCCATCTTCATAGCATTAAATATCATTTATAAAGTTACTCAACACAAACTTAAATTCGGAGTTGAAAAAGTAATCATAAAAGAAAACAATATAAATTGTGCTAATTGCCATTTTTATATGCTACTACATACATTTTTTAATTATCACATTCCTAGTATTGTTTTAATAAAATAACTTAGCAGAGCAACACAAAAGGGTAGAAAAATCAAAAGTTCACAAAAATCTCTTATTTCTTTTTCCACAGAAATCTCTTTTTACATGGATATACATGATTATTCTAAGTGCTTTTTCACTTTAATCTTTCTCAAATATCAAAGAAAATAAGAAAAAGAAAAGTAATAAAAAAAACATGGAAAAAGTATAGCACCACACTTCCAAATGGGAGGAGCACACTGCGCGAATTCCCACAAAATAAAAGGGAAAAAAAGCAACAAAAAAAAATAACGAATTACTGACTGAAAGTAACCGTTGCCATATGTCACCTTACCGTTGCAAAATCTATTCGTGGGACCGGACTGAGTTGCCCCGGGTCAAGAAACGGGTTGGATGAGCGAGCCAATTCGGCGGCGCCGGTGTTAACGACCACCGTGAGCCACTTCCCTTCAATCTCCCTCTTTTTGGCCATTCCCTTGACCTTAGTCTTTTGAACCAAATCCCAGAATCCATTGTTCCTTTTCCTATTCACGAACAAAAGAACCAACTTATCCTGAGTCTCCTCCAATCTCCCTAAATATCCCACCAACTCGTTCAACTCACCCACATCAAGATCATCCATTCTCTCCCCAAGTTCTTCCACGCGCAACAAAATCTCAACCTGCACGCTCCTATAATCCTCGCCAACCAGCCGTACCACCTCGTACACCAACTCGTTCCTCTGCAGGTGCAGCGAATCAGGCACGTGGCTTATTTGTTCGACGAAACCCACCAGCGCCTCCACCTTGTACAACAAATCCGCATCCGACGCGTTCGAAAGGATAATCTTTTTGCTTTCTTGGGATTCGCGAGAGGCGTTGAGGTAATACCCCAAGACTCTGGAAACCGTGAGGCTCTGTTCCAGCACGCCGGCGTACCACCGCACCCACGAACTCAGCTCCACCGATTCCACGTCCGACTCGTCGCGAAAGTTCGAGAGGTTAAGAAAGTTGTGGCCGCCGTAGGAAGGGTAACACGAGAGTTGGTCCTTCAACGTGAAGGGTCCCTTCACCACGACGTTGTGTAGCGTGAAGAGGCACTTGAGCGCCACCGTGGCGCTGCGCGTGTTGTGAAGGCGGTCCATGAGCGCGTCGATGCAGGCGCGCGGGTTGCGGTTGGAGCCCTGCCCCACCGTGAGTACGGCGGCGATGGTTTCTTCGGAGGGAGGAGCCGTGAGGGCGTGCGTGGTGGCGCGGAGAACGTGAACCCGGACGGAGGAGGCGTGGCGCTTCGGGGATAGGACCGCGGCGATGACGGAGGCTTTGTCTTTGAGGTTTTGGGTCAAATTTTTGAACCGCTTTTGCTGCGTCATTTGGATTATGAATGTTACGAAATATAGAGAAATAGAATCATATATATATATATATGAAGGGGTATGTTAATGTTTTGGGTGTGCATTAGCTGAAAGAGAAATAATATTTTCACATACATAAGTTTTTTATATTTATTTTTATAATATGTATTGAATGAATGTAAATATATATTATCTTATCATTACTCTAATTGAATTTGAAATAGTCAGAGCCACTTTCAGTCGCATTGCATACGGTTCAATAATTAAATTTTATTTATTGATTGAAAAAGACAGTGATGTGTTGTCTTTTTTGTAATTAAATATGATGTTGTTGGGCAACGAGGGATGTGTACATGACATCTCTAATTTCATTATTTCTTCCTTTCCTTCTCTTGATATAACGCGGTTAAGGAACCTGCCATCGATTTTTTTCAACTTTATTATCCCCTGTTCATGATTATAAGTATGCAGAGATTTTTGTTCATTTATTTTTTAATTTCAACATTTAACAAAATTACTCACATTGCTGACTCAGATATATTATTCTTTGCTTTCTTTTGACTTTTATTCATTCAATTATTATCTTGTTATTTCCTTACAATTTCCTCTTTGAGTTGGTAGTTCAGAAACTTTCTTCTAGTAATAAACATTTCCATTCCAATGGCTTTTAGAACAACCTATTTCTTGAAAACAAAGACTTACTTATGTAGTCCAAACATTGCTCTATAAAGCTCCAAATGCTTGTCTAAGTGAAGATGAGGGAGCACCGTGGGTTGCAGCAGAAGAACTATCGCATAGCCAAGAACAAGTTCAGCAAAAAATCAGGGTTAAATTAAATAAACTATAAACCTACTCTTGAAACTTCACATCCATGGTAGCTGCAGGAACACATTTAAGGGGTGTAGGAAGCAATTGCCTTACATAAGATATTTTGGAATAGTGTATAGAGTCGTTAGCGTGCTTCTGGATTGGGCTGGCCATAGGATTTCTTTTTACACCCTCGTACCTTTCTTCTGCATCCACTTCTCATTTTATCTTTCTAATTGTGTAATAAAAACACTTTTACGTGTAGGTTAAGCTTTAGCCTATCAAATTAAGGCGTTAAAAAGGACCGATGAATTAAAAACTACTACCCAACTCAAGCCTATTTTACCGTCTCTACATCTAGTCTTCGGAATTCTATAATCTATAAATTATTTTACAAGAAAGAGCTTTAAAAAATATGATGGAAAAATAAATGTTATGCTTAGTACATTAGTTAAACAATATGATGCAAAAATCTAAATATGAAAAATAATTTTTAACATTTGACAAAACTAATGTATAAGGTCCTATGAAACACACTTTATTACTGAAATTAAAATCTCTCGCGATTAGTAATTAGATTTGCATTTAATGTGCTTACTTGTGATTAATTAATGTGAAGTGTGAGAAGTTATATAAATGGAATAATGTGAAAAAGAAGGCGTAGTCGTGTACGTAATTTCCTTACCCTCCTTGCCTAAAGAACGCACTTCACATGTTATACATACATACGGCGTGACAATTAGGCTCCCAACAAATTAAGCATCAAACAATTTAAATCATCAACAACCACCACAACCAACTTTCTTCCAACACTTATAAAATGGAAATATGTAAGATAAAATTAAATAATACATGGCTTTATAAAAAAAATTATGTAAGAAATAAAATTTAATATTTGATTGTTTGTAAAATAAACACATGTGAGAAATAAAAACAAAATATTTTCAAAACATGTTTTAATAATCTAATTGATTTTGTAAACTATAAAAGATATATAAAAAATAAATGTCGAATAATACAACGAATTCCCCCAATTTTTTTTCTTTTATTTCTTTGCTAAATTATTATTTTCCTCTGTCTCCTTTACCAATTAAGGGATTAATAATGAAACTCAGTCTTAATCCCAAGATAAGATCTCACATATATTTTCATCTACTTCCCCTAAAAAAAATCATAATATCATTGAAGAACACTATCCACAAAACCTTTCACATATCCTAAGGGAGATGATTTTCAAAAACATACAAAAATGTGAAGAGTTGTACGAGGATGGATGTGGATATTGAAAACTTTTGATAATTACAAAACTGATTATTTTTCATTACATCTTTAAAAATATTATTTCTTTATAACTATGAAAGGAATTAAATTTATTAACAAAACAAAATCCATCAATAATAAAAAATTTATCAATAAAGTAAATTACCAAAAATCTATCAATGAAATTATTATCAACAAAAATTGAAGATAAATAAAAATACGACAGTAATTATTAACAAATTAAATTTATCAGTAATTCTTCATCGTTAATATTTATTGGTAGTTATTGATTAATTTGTTTTACATTTGGAACCAATCCCAAAACAAGAGTAACTGAGCAATCAAAGAAGAAATAATGAAAAGTTTGTATGCTAAAGACATAAAAACACACAGAACATAAATGAATTTCCTTGAAAGTTAACAATCAAAGGCAACATGTCCAGCATAAGTTTCCAAAGCACCAATGATCATGTCAGAGGAACACAACTTCCATACTAAGCCAGTGATAAAACCCAACATTCTGTGAATAAATCTCCTAACAGTTTTTTTAATCGAAACCACTTCGTCAGGCATAGTGTTCTGTTTCAATATGTAATCTAGACAATTTAACCATAACAATTAAGGAATGACCTAATCTCCATTCCAAACCTCCACTACTTTGGCTTTAAAGTTTGATTACAATTTTCAAATTCTACAACGTGATAGCAATAGACTTCTCAAAACATCATGTTAGTCCAAATTTTTTAAACAAATATCCAATACATATTCAAATGATCTGTAACCACATGCAACTAACCTTTTGTAAGGGTAGGACTAAGGACCTTTAGACTCTTCCTGTTAAAGGCTATAGTCCTAAGACATAATAGGATGACGGATATTGGAAACCAGATACTCTAATCCGTATACCTAGTACCGACATCCCATTACTCAAAGCTCTTGGATGATGTACGGAAATGAAGCTTGTTGTTGGGTCTGGTACAGGTAATTGGGCCAATGAGTTTCTTAGGAGGTGTTACTCTCTCCACCACCACACCTTACTTCCTGTACCTTCCAATTCCTCTTTTGCCCTTCAATAATATTTAAACGGATATCAACATCCGTAGACGGACATGGACCTCCGTTAAAGGACAAACGGATCTCAACAGATGTCGATCTCCGTCCACGAATGTTGACATCCGTCGTCCATTTATTTATCATTTTATAAACACACTTTGGATGACTAGGAAATATTTTGTTGGGTGCTAGAGATATGGGTTTAAGGTACAGTACTGGTCCACAAAAGCATCAAGCAGTAATGACAAGTGCGAATCAAACAGTTTTCTATAGGTGCTGCATTGATGCATATCACGATACTCTCTATGCTTATTCCAACTGTCAATTCTACAGAGAATGTAACATCAATGCCACAGTTGATTTCATCTTTGGCAATTTTGCAGTTGTGATCCAAAACAGTAATATTAGGCCAAAGTTACCAATGACAGCGCGATCTTCCTCAGATGGCAGCGCGGTAGTCGGGGAAACAAATGATGCTCCACTTGAAACTGCAGGTCACCGTGAAACCAGTCCATCCAAGCAGAACAGCTAACATCAAGAGTATCATTCACTCTGCTCTCACACCATGGACCATCCCACAACCTACATTTCCTCCTCCGAACTCCGCAAACACAACTTGCGCAACGACGGGTGGATCTCAATCCATGGCAAAATCTATGACGTCTCCTCCTGGCTCCACCGCCATCCCGATGGCGCCCTCCCGCTTCTCACCATTGTCAGCACAAACGCCACTAACGCCTTCCTCGCCTTCCACCCGCCCTCCGCCGCCCTTCTCCCTGCATTCTCCACTGGCCTCCTCCTCTCTGACTACGACATCTATGTCGCCTCCTCCGACTAAAGAAGCTCCACTCCAAGCTCTCCGAACTCAACCTCTTCGAACACAAGGGCCACACCACCCTCATCTTGCTCTCCCTCATCCTCAGCCTCCTCCCTCTATGCGTCTGCGGTGTCGTCTTCTGCGTCATTCACTGCATCTGTGAAGGTGGGTGACGGAAATGGAAAAGAGAAGAAATGGGAGGTGGTGGGTGTGAGGGTGAGTGAGGAAAATGGAAAAGAAAAGGAGGGGAGGGGAGGGGAGGTGGTGGGTGACAGAAATGGAAAAGAGAAAGAGAAGAGAGAGGGGGGTGTGGTGTGTGCTGGAATGAGGGTATAGAATTAGGATTTTTAATTAAAAATATAAAAAGTTAATTTAAGGATAATTTTGGAAAAAAAGTAAATTGAGGAGGTGCTGGAAGAAGGCAGTGATGATGGAGGGAGCATCTTTCTTTCTTAGGTGATAGGTCCACAAAGGTGTGGCCCATATATTTGAACCCTTGGTTAATTAAGTCAAAATATTATAAATATGACATGATAATTTATTTTAACTTTTTGCATTAATTGAGATTTAACTTCAGAGTTATTAACTGACTTAAATATTGAAGAATCTTTTTAGAAGATTTTTCCTTTGCTAATAGTGTTTGAAGTGTTGGAGGGAGTATACTGAATACTAGAAACTTATATCAAAAGGTGTCAAAGAGGGTGTACAAGAGAAATATTTACAAGATATTTTCGATCTTGATAAAACATATTTCATTGCTAAAATAAAAACACCTTTAAATTTAAGTTAGAGAGAATTATCAAGAAAATTTCAAGCTAAGCAAATTATAATATTTACTAAAGTTTGTATTAATTTGTTATTTAACAACTCGTGTACATCAAAGTCAACTTTATTAACGAGAGAAAATAAAATCATTAGTTAAACTCAATTTGAGTTGTTTGAGAAAATTAATAACAAAAGTGATACAAGTAATATTTTTTTTTCAAATACAAAACTTTACTTGAGAAAGAATAGGACAAAATTATGTTAATTTGTTATGAACAGAGAAGTACGAGAATATTGTGAGACATTTTTCAAGTCATTGTTAAAAATACATTATTCTTGTGTTTATAATA